CCTGCAAATCATTTATCTATTATAAAAGAGGGAATGCCTTTCTAGGGATCCATTTTACAAAAAAATGTAGGCCACCTCTCATGGCACTTGTCCATACAGTGAGAATCACTGCTTTATACCACTCCTGAATTCACCTCTAATCTATCTATAGGTATCAGCATACCAGCGCCCTCTACACCATTAATTAACAACTATTTTTAGGTCACGGATCCTCTCTCCCCAAAAAAATTTGACCTAAAATTTCACAGACTTCACAGATGTCCTGAAGCCTCTCCGTGACTTAATAATCTCTACTCAAGACTATTTTCTGCTATTCTCTGGACTACACCTTTTCTAAATCTCAGGGGTTGACTAATGCCAGGGTAGAACAGGATTTATGCAATTACCACTCCCACTGTGCAGAATAAATAAGATACTCTGACTATGCCATCAGTCTATCAGAACCTATACTTGATTTTCAATAAGGATAGCCACATTCTTTACAAGATGTACATTTTCTTTCAACGTAATAAACTGACAAATTCCTATAGAAATCTTCTTTTCACCATTTCTTTATCCTCTACTGCCACCAATCTGTGGTTTAGAGAAGGTTTTGCTTAAAATACCATTAATTCCTTGGAATTTATAATACATCCACTATATTTATCCTGAGGTAATAAGCCCTAAGTACCAGAGACCTTCAAAGTTGAACTACATATAGTTATGGCATAGTTTTATTTATATGAATTAGTTTGATTTATGTCAGAGTTTTTGATTCATGTTACAGTCTCTTAAGACTCTTCTAGACTAAGCAATGGCAGAGTGGGAGAATGAGCTTGGGCTTAAAAGTGACAGACTTTCGTCAGAATCTAGTCTATCACTTATTTGTGTAGGATAATGGTAAACTCGCTGAGACTTAGTTTTCTTGCCAGTAGTAAGATAACAATATCTATCACATAAGACTACTGAGGAGATTAATGAACACAGAAGACATCAAATTTTTGTTCAACCATCTTTTCACCTAAGTCCAAAGCTGAACATCTCCATTCCTTCAATGGTGGCTTGTTTGATGGAGTCATAACCACTTACCTTGAGTGATCTGCATATCCTATAGTCTGCCCCCCAAATTCTTACAGGTAGGCCTACCCACTCTTGTGGGCACACCAGCCCATCTAGCTACTTTATTCCTTTCACAGTCTTCAGTTGGCGCACAAATGGTCGTCCCAATGTCAATGAAGGTTTTTGAAGCCCCAAACTTAAAAACAAAATATCCACTTCTTAAGCATCACTACTGCATGGCTTCCTCATTCCCCGTTCTTGTCATTTGTACCCATCATTTCAAAGTAACTTATTAATATAGAGAAATAGCACATCTATATTCAATATTCAATCTGACATACTCTCAAATTCATAATAATGTGGGGAAGAGCAAATGACACATTCCTTTTAGAATTTATTGTTCGTTTAAGTGACATAGGAATAAGACATATTACAGAAAATTTCACTTACACACATGTGTATCAGGGGACCATGTTGGGGTTCAGTGAGGATTAGCAGCAATGGCACTCTTAATATTTGTACTCTGGCTTAATTAGAAATTTAAAAACAACTACATTTTAAGCTTAGTGTCAGTCCACAAGGTTTCCAGGTTTTGCTTTCTTACAATTCTTGTAAGACAGCTACTTACCATATAGGAATGCCAAGAAAAGATAAAAAAGAACCATTCTTTTTCTTTTTTCCCTAGGAAGTTTAATTCTCAACTTATCTTGAATAAGAAAAACTTATCTCTTGGGTAGGACCAGGTAAAGAGCCATATTGCTCATCATTTTAACTTGTTAAGTCTTCCCTGTGGGAAAAAGAAAACTCATCCACACTCATTCCTACCACTCTACCCTGTATGGTGGCAACGTGCAAATGGAGACCAAAGCAGACCTTCAGTATTACTGACAGTCAGGCAAACTTACTCTCTAGCAGGGGTTGGCATAGAAAGCAAGCAAGCTATAGAAGCTTGCCAAAAAAACAACTCTCTGTAACTTGGGCCATCAACTGTCATTAATAGATTTGAGGGACCTGCATTAAACAAACATAAAACAACCCCTCCCCAAAAAAACCTTCCTATATCATGCACTCATGCAAAGCATAAGTATCCACGTCAAAATTTATTTGGGTCCCAATTGAGATTCAGTAGCACTGGCTTTGGGCAAAGTTACTAAATGAGCATACTGTTTTAAATCTCCCTTGTTCTTCCTTTTTTTTCCCTCTACAACTTGTGATTGTACGCTCTCACTATACTTTACATAAAGGCAAAGTCAGTAAAATATTAGTAAATCTATTAATAAATGACGACAAAAAAATAAGTTAAAGAAAAGCTAAATACTTGTTATAAATGCCAAAAAGATATTTGGTAAATTCCAATTTTCACTTCCAATCTAAAGAAGAAGGCTCAGTAAATTAGAAATAACAAGGTATTTTTGTATTGTGATTTAAAATATTTATCTCAAATAAATGGTCAAAATCATACTTAAGATTGAAAAAAAATATGGAGATATCCCTATAAGAGTAAAGAATGAGACAAGGATGCCTGCTAGCACCACTTTCTAACACTGTTCTTTAATTTTTAGCCTAGGGGGATTCTCAAACAGGAAGAGGTGGTGGCGGAAGATCCAATACAATAAAATGGGAAAAGACAAAAAAAAAGTCTCTCCTAAGAGACACAAAAGACTTAATAGAGAGACATAACATGCTAATGGTTGAGAAGACTCAACGTTATATTGTAGAATATAAATTCTTCCAAATTTGATTTATACATGCAAGTATTTTGAAACACAGATAGATTGGTCAACTAACTGGGGAAAATTAGATCTATATACTGCATATAACAGTTAAATACACCAATAAAACATGGCAAACATGAATTCACAGTACATAAAAAATTCACTCTATTAATAAAATACAAATTAAAATGAGACAGCTTTTCTGTTTATCAAGTTGGCAAGTGTACAGAAAAAAATACTCAATTGAAGGAAACAGGTACTCAGAATCTTTGACTCAGTAGTTCTACTTCTAAGAATACCAAAGCTATAATCAAAATGTTTACATAAAAAAAATGTTCATCATAGTGTTATAAATTATAGCACCAAAATGAAAATAACATAATATACACCTGGAGATTGATTTAATAAATTTGAAATACTCATCTATAATGGAATACTATGTAGCCATAAAAAATTATGTTTTCATGACATGGGAAAATATTTGTAATAATGACTATTAAGTTTTAAAAGATAACAAACCAATGTGTTTTGTGTATATATACATTCGCAGGAAAGAAAATGGACTACAAGAAAACACACACTACATGGAAAATACATCAAATCATTTTCAGTGAAAACATCTGAGTACTGAGATCACATACAATATTTACTTTCTTCTGTATGCTTTTACATATTTTTCAAATTTCCTTGAATAAAAACTTACTACTTTTATGTTCAAGAAATAACAAATGTTATCTCAAAGAGATAATCAAAAATTTAAATTTCTGCTCTGAATTTTCTAAGAGCTATAAACCCAGAATATGATTTTAAATAGAATGATAACATTTTTAATGAGAACAACGATGTGTATAAATGTTAAAAGCATCTCAAATAAATTTTTACTACAATAACCCCATTCTTATACGAAGCACTACAGAGTTAGTAACCAATGAGGTAAGTAATAGCATATGGTTCATAATAAAATAAACATACAGGGGTAGACAGGGGAAGGTACAAAAAGATCGATGGAAAGGGCCAAAGTTTATCAATCCAAAAAGATTTCTTTTGGACTTAGCTTTTATTCTTAGCTTTGATATAAACAAATTTCACATAGTTTACTACACAGTAATTTTGTGTTTTGCTCTGTGGCTTCTTTTATATTTATATACACATGTACATATATGTGTGTGTGTATAAACAAGAAGTATTTAAATTTGAATAGTTTTTATAAATAATTTTTACTATTAAAGTGAATAAACAAGGACTTTAAGAATTTAAATATAAGAATATGTTTTTGACGAAATGACAGACAACAATCCATGTAACTACTATCAGCTATATTTGAAAATGGCCTTTACATTACTTTAGTGCTAAATAGTCATTGGACTATAACATGTAACACTCAGACAATTAAAATATCACTTAAACAAATTTAACTTTGGAATAAAATTTTTTTAAAGAAAATCAACATATCTAAATTAATTATAGCTATTTATTTTAAATGAATTCATTTTATAAAAGTTAAACTTACCAAATTTAAAAAAATGAACAAACATCCTAACACATCAAACTTAAGGAATGTTCTAAATAGAGTACAACTCCAAAATTATTGTTTTTATTAATCATACCATTTTCTGATACGCCATAACCAAATACAATCCAAGATGTGAAGATCATCATATCAGAATGAGACTCAGTACTTAAGACTATAAATTTGTTTAAACATTGACACAATATATAGGTCTACTCAAAAACAGTTTAACTCCTAAGATGAATAAGATTCTGATTACGGGATACTCTCCTCACTCAGAGGATATAAGACTTGAGTGATTCCTAAGACTAGACAACCATGAATATTTGTGTTCCCAACACGCAATGCTTCAGATAACTCCCACTCTCCCTTTTACATTTTCTTTCCCTCATTATACCAGGGGGGAAATTTCAATTAGGTGACAAAAGCCTTTTAATAACCAACATCTCTTAATTTCCTTTTTATCAAGGAGGGTATTCCCAGGGCTCATGGTAGTCTGCAAATCAATGCAAAGGGGAAGCCATCAAGAAGCTCATCTGAAGTATTACCAGGGAGCAGCAGGCAGCAAATATTCAAACCCAGAAATTTTGACTCAACATTTCCTATATGGTGCAACAATTCTGCATATATGATAGACACTGTCAAGAAGGATTCTGCCTGAAAAAGATGTAGAATGAAAAAAGAAGATCGACAGACATGAAGGTGAGGTGTCTGATTAAACTAATATCGGTACTTACGTATCATACCTCTGCAGTGGTGTCACTTTGTTCTTATTCTTATCAACTGAACCCGTAGATAGTTGAAGAAAATTAGGGTTTAATTTATATAATTCTTGAAGTAGCTTCTGTTCATATTCTTGGTGTTTACCCGCCTAAGGGAAGAAGAAGTTAAAACTGCAGTGAGGTTCACAAAATGGCTGAAATAAAATACTGAATTACTTTCTAAATTACTAAAGATATCCTAAATAAAATATGTGAGGGTTTTTCATGATGTCAGAGAAACCTGTAAGGATGATGTCACAAAACTTCTAGACGAATGAAAGTTCTTCCAACAAAACTACATGATATATATTCCATTAATTAAGGCATTTCATCAACTACTTTATTGTGTAGAAAAGCTTATTAAGAGACAACATTTTCGATAGCTCAAAAAACTTTAAGGTCCCTTTTAAATCTACTTCCCCATTTTTCATATGAGAATTAAGCCTTCTAATAGGCCATTACTGAATTTTCTGAAGATCACTGAAAATCAATTTCTTTTTTTTTTGCGGGGGGGGATTAAAATTTTCATGTTTTTACATAAAATTTCATGTATTTTAAACTCTAGACCAGGGGTTGGCGATTTACAGCCAGTCACTTTGTTTCTGTAAATAAAGTTTTATTGGAACAGTCTCACTCATTTATTTATGAAGTGTCTATTATTTATGAGTTGCCTGTGACTGCTTTCATGCTATAACAGCAGAGTTGAATATTTGCTACAGAGACCATGTGGCCCAGAAAGCCTAAAATATTTACTAACCGGCCCTTCACAGAAAAAGTCTGCCAATCCCTGCTCTATACACAACAAAGAGAACTCTGTATTTGTGCTCTGTAGTTGGTAGCTGTATGTCAGAAGGTAATGTTATAAACATTATAGGAGAAATTAGGCAAAGATTGACTGTGGAAACTAGTCACATACAAAAATAAATTACTTTGAATGACTTACAATGAAATTACTTTGAATAACTTTTTACTGCTTCATGTATATCATGACTGGAATGACATTTTTACTTACCTTCAGGGTTGTTAATTATTTTAAAAGTGTGGTCTAAATAGATGTTATGGGAAAATCAAAACCAGAACAGATAAAAACAAAAACAATAAAAACAATCAAGTGCAATAACATCTAACAGAGAACAACTGCATCAAATATACTGCACAATGTGTCATTCCCTATTCTGAGAGGGCTCTTGTCTGTTTCAGTTGGATCTACAAATGCTTCATATGGTACAAAATTTTGAGTTATGCAGTAACAAGGAAAGATCTTCTGATTTTTGCCATCATATTATTTGTTCAAATTTCCTTTCTACACTGAGGAAGTGTTTTAACAAAAAAAAAAAGATCCCTTTTCAAAGTAATTTTAATCTTGGGTAAAGAAGAACAAGATGAATTTAGGACAATATGAAATAAATTTTAAATAATTAAGAAAAAATACAGTTAGATGTGGATTTTACATCTTTAAAACATGAAAAACCTTGAAAATTCTTTCTGCAATCAATACTTCAGGAGATATTATGGCTTTCATTAGCCACAAAAGAGCTCAAATTGATATTCAAGTGATTCTACAAGGGGAATACATAGAGACAGGTTAAATTCCATTACAATCAAGTTCCAAGGGACTGTCCATCCATTTTCTTTTACTGCTCAACAATACTCAAAAATGAGATCAACTGGGCTTTAGAAATTCTTTGACGGAGATTTTCATTGTAATTAGTACCCGTGAGTAAAGCATACTCTCCATTAGTCAAAATTCAGTTTGAAATGGTTCAACCTGAGATTTCATCCAAGAAAGTTTCATGGAAAAAAAGAAAAAAATCAAGAAGCATTTATTGGATAAGTAAGAAATAAGTCATCCGTCCCCATTAAATATCACAGAGTCCTTATTTTAACAGTTTTTGGATCATCAAGACAACATTGTCAAGAAATTTCAATGTCTTTATTATAATGGAATTTAACCTGTAGAAACTCCAAGTCAAAAAAGGTAATATTTCATTTAAAGGAACCCCTATTAGATTTTTTCTAATTTGACCTGGAGAATGAAACATATCAATCAATGGCCCCCATCTAAATAAGTATTCCTGCAAAAGTCCACACAGCAACAATCTGAGGTCCTCATCTATATTAGGGAAGTGCAGCACTGTGCTTTGGTATTATCCTCATTTAATATGTTATATGGTCAACATTTTTACTTGTAAAGGCATGCTTATACTTCAAATTGAAAGGAGACAAGAGAAGAGGAAACGTAAAAATGAACATACGATATAAGCCTTCAATTCACCCTTTACAGGACACTAACTCAGTGGACACTTTCATAGGGAGAATCACTTCATAAAAATAATGTTAGCTTATCAGCAACATTTGATAGGATATTATTTTCTAGCATGCTCCCTCTAAAGAGTAGAGATGGCGGGGGGGGACCCTCAGAATTATAGTATCCCACTTAGCTTTCATTTTGGTGACATTCCCTTTAAAGTAGCATTTCCCAAAATGCTTTGCTTGGTCAGTTAGGTTCTGGTTGTACATTCCCCCCATGTATTAGCATATTAAAGACTCTGAGAAGTCCTTAATGCTGCAGGAAAAAAACCTATTTATCTTCATTAATCTAGCATTTTCAAACTTAGTGGACCACAGATCCATTTTTATTATAATATCCTGCAGAACTGACATTCCATGGAACACTGTTTGGAAAGCACTCCTTTAAAGTAATACCAGTTTAAAAAAAATAAAATCCCTAGTTTTTGCTTTTGTAATTTTAACTTATAAAAAAAAAAATACTCCCTTTTCTCAAAGTTGATAATTCGCATTACTTTACTACCTGCATTTCCTCTTTTGTGAAGCTGGCTGCCTCGTCCCCCAATTCATGTAGATACATGCAGTCAGGCTTTGGACACTGCATATTCTTTAAAAAGTAACTGCAGTATTTTGTTGTACCTAGCGATGCCTGTAGGAAGAGAAAGGGAGGGGGAAAAAAAGACTCAAAATATGAACTGACATCACAATGAGAATTTTCATGTTTAGTGTTTTCCCTTCACCTAAAACGAGGCACAGACATGACAAAACAAGAAGTACAGCTGTGAACACTGGAGAATTAAACTATTACTAGCAGGATTTATTAAAGATGATGCTCATTTGGAAGAACTAAAGAAAACATCTCAGTCTATGGTTTCCAAAACCTGAGCACCCAAATCTTCCTCCCTAGAGATCAGAAGAAAAGACAGACAAAATCTGTTCCATGTTATAAGTGATTAGGCACATAGGAAGGCAAATTCCTTTTTCTAATTATGCCATCCTTCTTGCATTTACAAAAAGCATTGCTTGCTGGGATCTTTCATTCAAACCTCAATTGCACAACATCCAAATATTTAAGAACAACAGATCAGAACTCTTATCTATTTCTGAAAAGAAGAAGAATAGATTCATTTTCACAGAATAAAATATGTGTAAATATAGGAGATTTTTAAGGATTATCCCCTAATAATAAATGTGTTTATTTCTACCTGGCAAACAGGACCCTAGATAAGTCAGTAATAAACAAATTAGCTGTCATAGGCTGGTATGGATGACTAAGAAGCAATCTTCAAACAGACTCCTTTCAAATGTAATTACATAATACGTAAATGCTATGTTCTCCTCTACTTAGTACATTTTATCTTCCCTCTTAAAAAAAAAAAAATCAAGAGGACTGTATTACCTTAAGTGTTCTGCCATCTACCACCACATTGTTGACACACTGTATGGCTCTGAGAGCATCTTCTGACCGGATATAGGTTACATAAGCACTGGCACTTGGACCCTAAAGTGAAAACCCACTGTTATTAGTTTCAAATTCAACAAAAACTTTAAAAAATTATCTTGCAACCTGCCTAGGGAATTCTAAAGGCCTTTACTACTACTATCATTAATAACAATGACAGGGGCCGGCTCTGTGGCTTAGCGGTTAAGTGCGCGTGCTCTGATGCTGGCGGCCCGGGTTCGGATCCCGGGAGCACCCGGAGGCACCACTTCTCCGTCCAACGCGAGGCCGAGTCCCGCGTACAGCAACTAGAAGGATGTGAACCTATGACATACAACTATCTACTGGGGCTTTGGGGGGAAAAAGCTGAATAAATAATATCTTTAAAAAAAAAAAATAAATAACAATGACAATAATTAGAAGTAGTAGTAGCTTTAAGTCATTTGACAGGCTCGTCGAGGTTATAAAAAAACTTTGAAAGTTAGATTCTAAAAAATAAGATTTGAAGACACTGTCCAATTATATTCTCCCAAAAATAAATGCAATCTGCAGGAGTATTTTATCTGCTAATACCAGCATAGCAAAGATGCTCTATTACATTTTCAATATCTGAAAATACTGTTAAGTAGAAATCATTATCTGGACTGCCTAACAATAGACTCAACTCCCCCTCCCCTTCAAACCATCACTAAATCTTTGTTTTACTATTTCCCTCTTATTTCTATCAATTCACTGTTAAGTCCTAGAAGGGTCAAATGAGTACCAAAAATTCCCCCACCCCACCAATAGAGGTCACCACAACTTCTTAAGTCCTTGACCCTCAAGCTTTCTAATCAAAGAAAGCAAATTTTCCTTCAAAACAGCCCAGGTCAAGCCCAGACCATAGAGAGGAAAAGAAAAATTCCTATAATTAGTTACCTGTGAGCCTGCATATGATGTGCTATTATTGATGACAACTTTATGTATTTTACCAAACTTCCCAAAATATTCTGGTCGTTTTAAAACCTATAAAAGAAGAAGAAATAAGGTATAAACTGTTCCCATTTTCATCAACTTTATCCTTACAATGGAGACATACACCATCCCTCTTCAGTGAAAGGAAAACAATTTTTAAAGTTTTCCAATAAATGTGACTAGTTCTTAGTTACAATGTATGGTGAATCTACAGGAAATCATCAACAGAGTCCAAAAGCTATTTTTTATTGACCCACTGAATAGAAACTGGGACTCACTAAGTTTGGTATTATCTACTATGTTCTAATATCTGCACCAATAATCTATGAGAACTTACCTTCACAGTATTTTTAAACACAAAACAGATCAAATAGCCTAACCACATTTTCATTAATAAATGATCCTTATAAGAAAGTAATTCTCAAAACAATGACCAAAATTATGTATCAAAGACTGAGATAGAAACTCAAGGACAGCCATAAGTAGAGACAGTCTTTACTCATAAAATCTATTATATATAACATTTGATATATTAAGCATCATTTATAAGCTACAAATTCCAAATATGCTAACAGAATGTTCCTCAACCTTCGAGGCTTTATGATTTATCACTATGTCTGTGTGTGTGCGTGCGCAAATGTCTACGTATACACACATGCACACACACGGTTTCCTTATGTCTATCAATTTTACCATTTCTCAATCGTCTCCTGTTTTTTTCTTCTCTCTTCCTGGTTAATAACTTATGTGAGGCGATGGATGGAAAAAGCTTTCTCTGTGTACCCGTTCAAATGGGTGCAAAGTATTCTTTTGAAACCTTCTTATTTGATAATACTCTCACACACAACTTAGCTCATATGTTTTGCATCCAACAGAAACAAAGTTTTGTGAAACACCCTATGGTTGGGGTGTCATTAATTCTTAACAGTTGTCAACTTATTATAAAGTAATTACTTTTACCATATTTTATTTTAGGTTCTTATAAGT